TTGTTCGTAGCAGGGGATTTATTTTTTAGGAAATATTAGCCTTAATATCCAGTTATTCTAGCTTCCTTATTTTAAAATTATTCCACACTTTCTGTTTGCAGATTACTATTGGAGTAAAACTTCTGTTATATAAATAACTATGTTTACTGCCTTTTCATTAATCTAGCCGGCTTTACTTTACCTGGTACCTGCTTGTTTGGGTGCACCATTGCTTATGGCTTTAGTGAAAAATGATCTTAGTGCAATGTTCAAGTGAGTTCCTGTTCTGATGTTTTTTCCTAGCAGACAAACCTTTAAGCTTTTTTTTCATATTGTCAATACATTCCAATCTATAATCTAATTATCGTAAAAAAATTATATAAGCTTCTCATTGGAAATGATTTAACAAGACTGACCTATCGTATATTGTAATATTATTTTTGTTTGATAGATGCACATAGTCAGTCATACGACGGTGTAGGCTACTTATGTTGACAGATATAAGTAGTATATAGCAGCAGTCGGAAGTAAAATGCCTGCCAGTAGAAGATTGAATTGAAGAGAACATGAAGGGAAACGGAGAGCAATTGTGATTACAACAGGATTAGAGGGATAATGGAGTGTAGAAAGGATAACGCAAAGAAGATGCGCATATGATGTTTTTCACATGTTACTAAGCCACTGTGTAATTTTGCATCAAACAATAAATTGGTTTTCCCAACATGAGTTCTCGTTCACTACAGTAATGTGTAGCCACTTGTCTAGGAAATGTTGGTGAGCAAAAAAGATAAAATGTGAATGTATTTGACACTAAATTCAACATATTTCAAGGTATATCTTCTGGTGTCTTTACTTCCTGATTTTAAACATTATACCTATGTAGCGAAAGTAAAAATAAATGAATAATTAGTGCATTTAATGAATGTTAGTTTTAGGAACTTGATTGCACTGACTTTTATTCACAATGGAATAATGTTCTGTTACCGCTGATAATAACTCTGTCATCTCTATACAGATAGCAAACTTAATTGATTTTTCTACACAATTTATGCACAATATACTGCTTAAAAATGTAAAATATTAAGTCATTAATATCGGCTAATTAAGCAGGCACGTAATACAAGTTAATAAGTAATCTGATGATGATGTTTGTGTATATGTGACTATCACCATATGCACAAGATATTTATTTGTTCTAGCAAAAACTAAGCTAAGGTCATCAGTTGTTAAACCATAAATCTAATTATACATTTCCAAAAATCGATATAGTGGGATGATTGAAATGCTCGTTTTCTGACAACTAAATTTAGTAAGATATTTTCTACATTTTTGTCTTAATCTTCTCGTTGGTTTGTTTAAATCGTTGCTTACTTTATCTTATTTTAACGTGAGGAACTGCTACACCTCGGAAGTGTATTTACATAACCTAAGTTCTTTATTGTATACATGTGTCAGAACTACCTGAATTAAGTACTAAGTAGGAATTATCTCTAAAGCTGTTATTTTTTAATAATTAGTATGAATAACCACGCAAATTAGATTAAATCATCATCGAAACCTCAGTCAGTTGTTAACAATGTAGATCCTGGAACAAATGTGCATTGGTCTAAGATGCCATATCACGTTAACACAGTGAGATGAAATTAACACGAGGATACAATATATAATAATTTAGTAGTAAACATAACGAGAAGGATTAAGCATTAATAATATTCGGGACAAAAGACAATAGTATGTAAGAAGGGATACTAAAACTTGAGATCGAAAAGATGAAAAGTAAATGCACGCTAACGTATGCTAAGCCAAATCATCCGACTTCTGATCGAAATATATTTATGAGGCATAATCCATAAGATGTATAGTCATCAACTCTAATTGGATTATATTATTATTTTCAAAATATGGTAGACTAGTTTATTCAATTTTTTTTCTAGCTATGAAGATGAACCGGAAGCTGAGAAGAAAATTCAGGAGGCTGATGTGTCAAACAAATCTAAGAAAAGTAAATAACAATATCAACCTTTGGGGTGGGGGCAATTGACCGATTTTATCATCTTAATCTGTCCATATATAACTTATGTACACAAATATATTTATTTCTACAGTGTTAAGTGTGTAACGTTTGTGCTACGTGCTGACTGTTTGTTTTGTTTTCTGTAAAATAGTGTTGTTGGCGAAAAACCCTAACATAACTTGTTCGTTTGACATTTGTTTTAACCTTGTCGCTTTGCTAATAAAGCTGTTACACTGTCTGTTTATTTTGTGACATCAATATCCAAAGTCTAAACATAAAAAGTGAAATACCAAAATATGTGAACATTGTTGGCAAGCAATCAAGGTTACTTCTTCAGATCATCATTTTCATTTTATGAATACATATTTAAAATAATATCCTGATTGTTTTGACAGTGCTAATAATAAATTCCGTTCTAAATTATACTTTACTTTAAATGCCGATGTATTTGTATAATTGGTGGCAACTGACATTTTAGCGCATTGCATTTTATGTCCATAAGTTGAAATAAAATTGGGGATCACAGATTAGTTACTGAAGTAATGATACGTTGTCTATGCAAATTCTCGGTGAACTTTCGACGAAACCATTATACCTGATACGGCATGAGAATCTCCTTGAAGTTTATGTTTTGATGTGAAATGTTAAGTAGATATTACTCGGTAGATCTCTTTCTTTCCATTTAATTAGGCACGGGTATCTTAAACTTTCTAGAACTCTTATTGGATACACCATGCTTTGATTACTTAAGCCACGAAGCCTAGTGAGGTAAGTCTATTTTCAAACATCTTACAAATAAGAAATAGTGATGTGTGCTAGCGTAAATCTTCCTATGTAACAACTCATTGAATTATTTGCTTCGAAACGTAGGTACAAGGATTAAACTGTTAATGTTAAAGAGCTACAAGTAAGATTTTTTGTCTTTGGATTTGACGAAACTGTATGACTACACTTAATTGTACGACGGTTTACTCGACAAGTAGGTATTAGTAACAAGATGTATTAACAAAAAAACAGTGGAAAGGTGTTATTCACAATATTAATAATCCAGTATGTGATACATCCGTTTGTCTGTTTTCACTGACTGACCAGCTACAACTCATATTGTCCAGGTACACCAATAGTCTGAATTAATTCATGTCCTTGTATTCTGGTCAGTTTACAGTTTCTTATCCTATTCAAACTTGTATTCAAGCAGAATAGAGGCTGGTAGTAAATTCTTGTTCCCATTTCCAACTCGCTTTGTATGTCAGGATTTGTAGTAGTTTAACGCACAAAGTAAGTACGTAACACCAGATAGTTTGGCATTATAATTTGTCAGAAATGAAATCTCATCTTGCTCCCAGGGATATTTGTGTTTACTCATTCTATACTGTAGGCGAGTGATAAAGACAGTCTCAGTACTTGTTTCCCGATAGCAATTTCAACTCCTGAGGATAATTCTTTTATGCTTCAAGGATAATACCTTCTAACTGACTGGTTTCAAACAGTACTCTACGTCGTACAACAACTACCATATTGTTAGCAACCAGTTTATTTTGAGGAAGGGTGTACTTCTTTCAATTGATGTGCTAATGGGGTATAATTACAAGACACTAACTTGATGTTTCTCATGTGCCACACGACATAAACGCAAACTATGTAGACCTTTTGAGTTCTGTTTTGGCACCTGGGCAGTACCTAATCCACACACTAATCAGAATCGAAAAGAATTACCTTCGCTTCAATTCGCGTTCTCACAAATTGTATTTACAATTATTTGGTAACACTAGTTTATATCACTTGTTAGTTCCCTTTTATTCCCATTTTGTCTATCCCTTTAACTTTCAACTCATACAGCAGGCCACCTATGTTGCGGGTCCTGTCCTATCTAGATTTCCTTAGGTCATTGTTTGGTTGAAAGTTGAATACAACCAACGATGATCCTTGATCAGTCTTTTTAAAACACATTATTCATTCAAACTGGACTCTTCCAACGTTCGGACATCAATGTAGGTTGGACAACAGATAGGGTGGCTATGTCTTTAGACAGTCTTAACATCGACGTCTGTTGCCTATCCGTATCCAAGACTCTAGTGAAGTACCACAAGTTCACTCTCCATTTGTCGCTTCGAGGTCGTTTCAAATATGTACTTAAAAGGACTCTGTGGAATCTTGATGAGTTTTAACACCAACTAAGTGTTGTTCAACAGAAAAAGAGTTCGACAGATATTGTAGTGTCAACCAGGGACTTGAGTGCACAAGTAGGGTGTTTAAAAGAAGAAAGTCGTTTAGGTGGCCGATAGGGACTCGTTGGTCGCAGATCAAATAACGGCAATTGACTACTTCAACTTTGCACAGATTACCTGTTTCTGGTTAGCACAAACTTTCGGCAGTCATCACTGACGTGCGACTTGGTGTCCTCCATCTGTCTCAAACCTGGACTTAGATTGGTCACGTCGCGATTAGCTATTGCTGGCATGGCCGTGTACAAGACTACCGCTCCTTTTGGAGTACCTATCTGGATTCTCATCATGCCCTTGTTTGCGCCAATCTTATCTTACGTTTCAGTGGCCAACAAATTCATCGTCCTAAACGGATTGATATCAGTAAACTGATTGCATCTTCTGTTGCAATTAAATATCAAACCGAGTTAGGTTCAAGGCTAGCCATCAATCCACCGAAAAGTATAGATGAGCACTGGCTACATTTACATGACGCCATGGAAATGGCGAATATAGTCGCCTGCAGCTTCACGAAGTTTCCCACTTATGAGCGCTGGGTTTATACAGACTCTTTACAACTCATTGAGATACGTCGGCCTACTTCCGCTAACCGCAAATTTTACGATAAACGTAGATTACTACGTAATGAAATGCGAGCTCATCAATACCCGAGCTAATGCTTTCCATGAACCAATGTTACAGCGTGACAAGTGCATAGGTTGATACGACGACGTTTAAATGAAATTTACGAGTGTGCTGTATAAGAAGTCCAATAACGTGGGATACAAAAAGCTCTGACAACAGTGGTGTTCAGAAATGTTCGGTCTCCCACTTAACAGACATTCACCTTTTAAATGTAATTAGAGAACATGTAACAGAAAAATATTCCGGATCTCAGAATACAGTTAAATTATGTCCGTGGGCAAGATCTATTAACTAGCAATCAATGCAGCTCCTAAAGAGAGAAGAGCAAAATCGGAATACCAAGATAGATTACCTCTTGAAAAGATTAACTCAATTAAAAAAGTAATGCCATTATCATCAGGATATTGGATTCAATGCAGTAAGTAGTCAGTTTGTCGAAGACGGCCAGTTCTCGGCAGAACAGACTTCAACGTATCGTAAGGGCAGAATCAGATCAGAGATAAATTTTGGTAAATCCAATGGACAATTTGGACGGGACATTGGTTTTCACTCCTGAAAAGACTGAGTACAAGTGTCAAGAATTTAAAGTCCCCATTCACAAAAGATACGGTTTAGATCTGATCGAGAACTGACCATTTAAAAAGGTCAAGTGCCTTTCATAGGGTCAATTAAAACTTTCAGCTTGAAACTTGTTTTCAGCATCAGGAATGCATCGTAAAATGTCTTCTAAACTGTTTTCCCCAAATGTCAGCTAGTCTGAAACATACAGAAAGTATGCAATAACGATTTAATGTACGGGCGGTCGCGGCAATGGAAAAGTTGGTGGATAAAATTAAAGTGAAAATAAATACTATGGATCAAGATTTCATGACTGTAAGGACCTATCACTTGTCGTATAAAGAACGATAAAGCTAAATATATGTTTGGAAGCAGATGAAAGGCATCACAAATAAACGAGTTTCTGATGTGTCAGGCTTCCAGAATGGATGGTCCCGAAAATCCTCTGGGCGTGGCACAAGGTATTTAGGATGGATTTTAGGCTCTTCACCTCAATCCTCGAACTTTGCTTAATAAAAGACCGGAGAGAGGACCCTAACTGACTCTCATAGATTGAGTACAACCGTAATAACAGAAACATTGTTAACTCAGTCCATGGATAACAGCGAGGTTGGTTTCAAGAAGTCAATAGAATTGTTACTACATTCCACTTAAACCCCCAAATGCCCTGGTACGGCGGAGAGTGGGGAAAGTCCGCTCTCCCTCTCGAAATACTCTCACACGGCCACGCGTATACAGCCTCCGCCAGGGAAGTCCTACTCATTGCCTTCTCGTGGCGGGGGTGTTGTTTACGAAAATGAGAGGACGAAAAGCGAATGTCCGGCGCTTTAACCGGATCCCAAACCAATGGTGCACATGGGCTCCAGTATCCTGCGGGAACAAATGGCGTATGAACCAATCGTTGGTCACCGGCTCCCATGGGACTGCATCTCCTTACGATGCTCCACTGCCTTGTGGTTTAGACCTTTAGGTCAAAGGCTCGGGGTGTTGCCTCCTAAGATAACCACTTGCTTCGGTCTGGGCACCCGGGCAGTATCGCAGCCCACACACAATTATGATGAACTCTCTGTATCAATGGAAACTACTTTTCTCGCTTCGAATAACAATCAAATGATCCAAATGATTATTATTACTATTATTATTTACCACACTATTCACCCTCTTTTATACTTATACAGCGGCTCGTCTTTGGTGGAAATTCGACTGTATCTAAACGTTCTCGAGTCACTGTCCGGTTGAAAATTGTATGTTACCACTGAATATGAGTACTGAAGCAGTTTTTCTGAAACCACGTGCACCCTTCAAACTGGCTGCCTTCAACGTTCGCACACTTATGCAGGTTGGACAACACATAGGGCTGGCTATGTCTTTGGAAAGTCGTAATATCGATGTCTCCTGTCTATCCGAGACCCGTATTCAAGACTCTGGTGAAGTACTACAAATTCGCTCTCCATCTGTCGCTTCGAAAAGCTTGTTTTACGTGCGATTATCCTGGGACCCTGTGGCATCTTCGTCTGGTCTTGCAGGCGTTGGTGTCGCACTAAGCGCTAGAGCTGAGGCAGCACTAGTCGATTGGATCCCCATTAACAGTCGGTTATGTGCTGTTAGATTAGAAAGTTCCATCAAAGTGAGAAGAAATCGGCGTGAGAAACGATGTCTTTTCGTCATCTCCGCCTATGCCCCGACAGATTGCAGCCCGGATGCAATCAAGGATGAGTTTTACCACCAGTTATCTGTTCTTCTCCAGAAAGTGCGTTCGACAGATATTGTAGTACTAGCCGGAGACTTGAATGCTCAGGTTGGGTGTCTAGGTACAAAAGAGAGTCGTCTAGGTGGCCGATGGGGACTTGTTGGTCGCAGGACAGATAACGGGGGCCGTCTACTGCAACTGTGCACAGACCACAACCTGTTTCTGGCTAGCACTAACTTTCGGCACAGTCATCGCCGATGTGCCACCTGGCGTCCTCCCTCCGCATCCCAAGCCTGGACTCAGACTGATCACATCTCGATCAGTTACCGCTGGCGTGGTTGTGTACAAGACTGCCGCTCCTTCTGGAGTACCTATCTGGACTCTGATCATGCTTTGGTCTGCGCCAATCTTACCTCACTTTTCGTGGACAACGAAGTGACCGCCAACAACGGATTGATGTTAGCAAGCTGGTTGCAATTAAGTATCAAACCGAGCTAGCTTCTAGGCTAGCTACCATTCCACCGAAAAGTATAGATGAGCACTGGTTGCAACTTCATGACGCCATCAGAAGCCGCTTGCGGCTCCGCGAAACGTGCCGCTTATAAACGCCGGGTTTCTTCAGGCTCCTTACAACTCATCGACGCCCGTTGGTCTACTCCGGGTGATCGTGAGTTTGACCACAAACGAGGGATGTTTATGTAATGAAATTGGGTAAAGCTTGCATAAGGACCGAGAAGCCTGGTGGTCAGAGCGTGCTAATGAGCTGGAAGCAGCAGCTGCATCTGGTAACTGCCGAAAGTTCTTTCAACTCATCCAAGCCACTGGCATTAAGAGTCTGGTGTGAGCGAAACAATCTGTGAGGATGACGGGATGCCAATCACTAACATCCATCGACGTCTTGGACGATGGGTAGAATTCTTCGAAGGGAAGTTTAACTGTCCAGCTGCTCGGGCGACATCGGTCAGACTGTCCTACCCTCCATGACCTGTGACGACTGATCCACCAAATGAGGCGGAAGTCCGCAAGGAACTCCAACTATTGAAACGCCACAAAGCACCTGACCCAGATGACTTACCTCCGGCTCTTTTTAAAGATGGTGGTGACTTTCTGACTAAGGAATTGACGACGTTGTTTACAAAGGTCTGGGAGCTAGAGAGTGTTCCAACGTCATGGAATGAGTTAATAGTTGTTCCTATCTATAAAAAGGGTTCACGTCGTTTCTATAACAACTATCGGGGGATAAGTCGACTTCCGATTACATCCAAGCTATTGGCTTCCGTCATACTTCGTAGGTTGTTCAAAACCCGAGGGAGATTGACTCACGAGGAGCAGGCTAGATTTCGTCCTGGTCGAGGATGTATTGCTCATATCTTCACTCCCCGCCAACTGCTAGAACACCGCCATAATTTTCAAAGGCCAACAATCGTAGTGTTTCTTGACATCAGGGCTGTCTTCGATTCGTTGGATAGGTCTGTTCTCTGGGATTCTCTACTGAAGAAGGGTGTGCCTGAGAAGTTCATTAGCAACCTAAAATCCCTATACACAAACATCTCAGGCAGAGTGGAGGCATACAACCACCTTTCTCCACTGCTCCATTCAAACAGTCAGGTCAGACAGGGTTGCCCAATCTCACCATTCCTCTTCAACTTTGCCATCGATGACATTCTGGAAACAGTTCTGATGGATGTAAGTAATGGCGGTGTGGATCTATTATCTGGAGAAAGACTTCTCGACCTTTAGTGTGCGGATGATATTGTCTTACTGTGCGATAATGCCCAAGCCATGAAATCCGCACTTAATCAGTTGGCAATCAGTGTCCGTAGGTACGATATGTGCTTCGCACCTTCCAAGTGCAAAGTACTTCTACAAGACTGGCAGTATTCTAATCCTGTACTCACCCTGGATGGTGAGCAGATAGAAGTAGTCGAGAAGTTCGTATATCTAGGTAGCTGCATAAGTGCTGGTGGTGGCGTGAGTGATGAGGTCAATGCACGTGTAGTGAAAGCCAGAGCGGCTTATGCCAATCTGGGCCATCTTTGGCGTCTTCGTGGTGTTAGTCTGGCTGTAAAAGGTCGGATCTACAACGCATCGGGGAGAGCAGTTCTGCTCTATGCTTGTGAAACCTGGCCTCTCCGAGTTGAGGATGTTAGACGACTCTCCGTGTTTGATCATCGTTTGTCTCCGAAGGATTGCTGACATCCAGTGGCAACACCATGTTAGTAATGCAGAGGTTCGGCATCGTGTGTTTGGGCGCAGAGACGATAATCCAACTGGTGTCACCATCTTGAAACACCGACTTCGGTGGCTTGGACATGTTCTACGAATGTCGCCCCAGAGAATTCCACGTCGGGCATTATTTGCCGACACTGGGACTGGTTGGAAGAAGCGGAGAGGTGGTCAGTGTATGACATGGTGTCGGGGTATGAAAGGAAGCTGCAAGGGGCTGGCTTGTGTTGGTCCTTCACGACTCCCTGGTTGGAGTCCGAGTGATGGTGCGACGCAGTGGCTAGAGACGTTATCAGATATGGCTCAGAACAGAAGCCAGTGGCGATCCTGCTGTAATCTTCGTTTGCTTTCTTTATGAAAAGTTGTTGTATCTTCCCCAACTGAAAGACTTCCGATTGTACCTTTCCGTTTCCCTCCATTATTATTATTATTACACTACCGTACACTAATCTGTTCGTTATTGTTTTTTTTCCTTTAAGCTCCTTACCCTTTTCTCTTCCCATTCTCATTGTTTTGTGTGGCGCATATATATTGGCGCTCTCTTGTACCAATATTTATGTGTTCAAATAAAATAATAAAATAAAACATTCCACTTAATCAGGACTGTCGGCATTTTTTCCTAGAAAATTTTGTTAAACCTAGCTGAGATCCTATTTCATAGAAGTAGAATGTGTAGAACAATTAGTTGCCATTTGGAGAAGACAAGAACTGCTTCTTGTCTTAGTCAATCCCAGTTTCCATTGTGAAGTCAAAGGTATATTCCTCAAGAAATATAGTAGTAGAAGGCATCAAATGACATAAGACTATAATGTGGTCACCAAGCCGAATATTGTTGCGTCACCCACCGTAAAGACATAGTCACCTGTAGACTAACAGCGTCCAGGACTTGAAAATCACCGTACACTCGTGCAGTAGCTGAGAAAGGTTTAAGAACCTATTGGATAAAATGTAAATCCTATAGTTGTCGAGATATCTCCTATACTAAACTCAACACTAGGGTAATACGTGCCAGAAACTAGTCCTTTTCTAAATACACATCGGGAGAGGTGATCCAAAGAACGGAAATCAAACTTGTCTCAAGAACTTTGAAGCATTTGCATGACGCTCAGTCAGTAACAACGTAGAACTTCGTAAGTACGTACATCAGTTCGAGTTGCCACACCACATTAGCACAGAGATGCAGTGGTCGATTCAAATCCCGTAGTGGTAGAGGTAATAAGAGTATAAGCAGTAATCAGGAAAATTAGTGTTTGGAGATGTTATTTAAAGAGTATAATACAGTGAAATAAATTTGGGTAGAGAAAAAAAAGAGACGAGGAATAAGGAGATCAAAATTTGGGAGAACACAAAGAGTGTATGCACCTGCGCCATTGCAAACGATTTTGAACCTGACGTAGTGTGAATATGTGGTCTATACAACCACGTCCAGGTCGCAAACCAGCCTGATTTTCTCTAGTCTGCTCTTCACGAGCTTTAGTTAGGCGTCGAAGTATTATTGAAGCTAATATTTTAGATGATATATTTGCCAAACTGATTCCTCTGTGATGGCACAAGAGGACTTTCTTCCTTTCTTATAGACTGGCACAATCGGTGATTGAGACCAGTCAGATGGGATTACGTCCAGTTCCCAAATTCTACCTAAGACCTCAGTTAATCTCACTGCTAATACTGAACCAGCATCTTTAAAAATCTCAGGAGTAAACTTATCAGGGCCTGCTGCCCTCCCTCGCTTCAGATTTCCTATGGCTTTTTCAACTTCGTCAAGAGTCGGAGGACCTACACTAACTTGCCATTCAGGTTGACTAGAGATCGTGGGAAACCAAAGTGTGGCTGAACTCCAGTTGAACTGATCCCTAAAGTGTTCTGCCCATCGATCCAATCTCCTGGATTGAGAATGAATAATATGTCCATCTTTCTCTGAGAGTGTTTCTTTAACAGTCGGTTTCCTTAACGAGTCTGAACAATTGTCTGCTATTACCTATTGCCGCTGCTTTTTCCATCTCTCTTGCTTTCGCTACCCACCACTGTTCACGATCATTGCGTAGACTTCTTGTCAGCTTGCGCTTAAGCTGACTCCACTCCTCATTATGTTCAGAGCCAGGTGGAATGAGTTTCCGAGCATCTATCAGTGCGATAGATGCTGCTGAGATCCAGTGTTTCTCCCTAACCTTACGGGTTACCGTACTAGCAGATATCACGGCTGTTTCCACAGCTTTTCGGATATCATTCCATGCTGCCTCGGGGTGGGCATCACCTATATGGCTACCGAACTGTTTTCCTAGTTGTTCCTGAAATATACTCTTAGCTTGACTATCATTAAGTAGGCCCCTAAGAGGTTTCCTTGCAGCGTCTTTCCTACGTCCTGTAAGACGCGTTTGCATGACGCTAAATTAATGTGAACAAACTAATCACCCCTAACACATAAAACGAACATATGCGAGTACACAATTTAAGTCCACATGCTCAGAACTAACTGAGACGACTTTTTATATTAGATTGAGTTATCAGAAGGCAGATCTTTGCGCATCAATAAATTTTATTCTAAAGGTAGCGCATGGAGAAACATTCCACTATTAAGAAAAATGAAGTCAGCAGCTAGTACTAACGATATCCTCTATTCAATCAATTGTTCCATGACTCAAACAGTGAAAAAATACACACCTAATACGACTTCTAGAAATTATACGATTTTTAAATATGAGAAGTCATCTAATTCACATGACTAAATATTTTCAGGTTTATATAGAGGCTGGTGAAATTCAGAAAATACTTTCTGCAATCACAGTTTGTAATATCAAAACTCCTTACGAGGAAAATTAGTGTAAATCACAAATATTGAAGTGCTTTTTGTTAGAGTAATATTACTAATAATGATCAAGTAACTAAAAGAAAAATATCCACTGGACAAAAATTGATACACAACTAGTAAGATAGAATAAAACTCAAGATCAGTACATCTTGGAAATATGTGTGACCAAAGTCACAGGTAATTTGATATTAACTACTACATAAATTCAGTTTTTTGCATGATAAACCAATAAAGATTTGCATATGCAGATATATCCCAAATCCAAGTAACAAGAGAAACTAGGGTTCCCTGATTATTGAGCTTGATGTTTTCTACTTAGAGCGTTCATAACTGAAAAGTTTTAAAGGACTGAAACAACTTACTGAGCGATTCTTGCTAGTTGATATAATCCAGTTAGAGCAACAAAGGCGTTTACACTGAGAAGGTTGTAATTTTTTGGGATAATAACCATAGAATACCGAGACCATATGAGACCTGTTGCTGCAAGCGCTGTGCTTTGGTATAAACTGACGTTCTGGACTGGTCGGTTAATATCTGCTAAACCAGCTATAACAAGAAGCTTTAATTAACTAGTAATTTGTGGATTAATGTTAACCAACCCATTTGAAAGTAGGCGCCCAGAAAAATATGGTTTTAGGTCCCGCAGGATGATCCCATAAAGGTTTGATTCGAGCAGGAACCTTCTTATCAACGGCTGAAATTACCGCCCGATAGACTGCCGACATCTGTCCAATAATTTACGCGGCAAGATTTTGTAATCTGAGTGTCCTTGGTCTGTGGTTATTCTAAACAATCAAGCTTCATCTTTAATATTTCATATACCTGGAATTATATAGCATAAGCGATTGAAAAATTTGAGCTCCATTTTGAGGGTTAACTTACTGTTCCAAGTCTTTGTTAACATTCAGTGGGTTAATGTACAGACTCTACTGAACTTCAGATTTGATTCAGATTTGTATAGTAAGGACAAAAGGCCTACGGCCTATGTTATTCCTTTTCTAGTATGCTTCTGTGAGTGTTCAGTCTTCTCTTGAAAGAGTCAATTGAAGGTGCGGACACCACTGCTTCAGGCAGCAGGTTCCAAGTATTGATGACTCGGTGTGAAAACCTGTATGCCACGGGTATTTTGTTCGTTCTTGGCTTTTCTACTCGCCTGCTATGTCCTCTGAGGTGTCCCGATCTAGTGGGAAGAAAGAGAGATAATAAGTTAGGTCCGAAACCATTTCTCAGTATTCTGTACATCAAAATTAGATCTCCCCTTAGTCTGCGATTGGACAGAGTAAAGAGGTCCAGTTTTTCAAGCCGCTCTTTGTATGATAAACCCCGGAGTTCCGGAATTGGACGGATAGCTGCTCTCTATACTTTTTCTAGTATGTCCGAGTCACCTTTTTAACAGGGGCTTGCAGCTTGAACACAGTTCTCTAACTTAGTTCTCACTAATGATGTGTATACTGTGGTGAACATGGTAGTATCTAACTTAGTGAATGTCCTTTTTAAAGCCCATAGGGCTCGAAACCCCTTGGCTGCGACCTCCCGGCAATGGGCCGTCGTCTTAAGATCCTTACTTACTGTCACCCCTAGATCCTTATGAGACCGTACTACGGGTAATGACACATCCCCTATGTTGTATGTATTAATCTTTGAATCCCCCAAGTGCATGTAGACACACTTCCGCGTTGATAGGCGTCAGCCACTCTTTGGACCAGTTTATCATATTATTTAAGTCTGCCTGAAGAGCAAATGCGTCTTTGTCTCCAGTTATTACTCGCCAAATTTTCACATCGTCAGCGTATAATAACATTGGAGACTGTACTATACTTGTAAGATCATTAACGTACATTATAGAAAGTAAAGGACCTAGGACGGAACCTTGGGGTACTCCACTAAGTACTGGTCTCCAGATGGAGCACTTGGAATTTATTCTTACTTTTTATCTACGACCTACTAGGACATCCTTAATCCATTTTAAAAGAGGTCCGGCAATACCAAGTTTTTCCAACGTCGATAGCAGTCTATTAGTTGGCACCTTGTCAAAAGCCTTACTGAAATCTATGTAGACAACATCCACTGAGTTTCCTCTGTCTAGCGCATTAATCCAGAACTCCCTTGCTATAAGGAGATTTGTTGTACAGGATAGACCCTTTCTAAAACCATATTGTGCCATGTTCAGCAAGTTATTGGTTTCCATAAATACCGTTATGGTCCGTTTGATTATTCTCTCCAGTATTTTAATTACAACACTGGGGAGGCTTACGGGTCTGTAGTTCGATGGAACTTGTCTTGGACCTGTTTTATGTATGGGAGTGGCGATTGCGTTTTTCCAGTCCATAGGTAACACACCTTGGTCAAGTGATATATTGAATATCACAGTCAGTGGGGCTGCGATATTTTGGGCAAAATGTCTCAAGATTTTGGGGTGTAGTTCATCTGGTCCTGTTGACTTCTCCATGTTCAGGGTGCTAAGAGCCTTAAGCACATCGTTTTGGTCGAAGTCCACGGTGAGCAGCTGGTTTGTTGACTCTGTATTTGGGTCTGGTTCTTTGTCTAGAGGAAGTTCCTGAGTGAAAACTGCCCCAAAATAGTCAACCATGGCCTCTGTTTTTTCCCGATCTTCCTCTGTCATTTCAGATTCACTCCCTTCTTTAATTAGGTTGGGAATCCAATGATGCATCCTTGTTCCGTAGTTTATGTGTGAGAATATTCTCTTGGGCTGCTTGAGTGCAGATTCTGCCAGCTGCATTTCATATTTTCTTCGGGCTTCCCGAATTTTCTTTATACACTCGTTTCTTATCAATCTGTAGCGTTCCATCGTACCCCAGCATTTCTCCTTTTGTCTTAGTAAACGTCGAATATCCCGCCCTATCCAGGGATGTCCGTGCTTCTTTTTCTTTGGGACAGTCCAGGGTATGTATGGTTGAGTTACCCGATTGTACAACTGCCTGAATAGAGTCCATGCCTCTTGTACTGATGCCTTTGAGTCAATTTCCCAGTTCTCAGTCAATGCTGTGGAGTTAATTGCCTGCATATCTGCCTTCCATATATTAGGACGGGCCGGCGCAACTGTTTGACAGGCAATCTCAGCCATGAATTTGAATAAGATGACTGCATGGTCACTTCTCCCAAGTGGTGAGAGAAAAGCCATTTGACCAATGTCATCACCGTGTGTGAAGACTAAACCTAAAAGAAAAGAATTCGATAGTATATTCGCCCATCTTCATAAGAAGATAATGATGGTGTACGTTATAACTTCATCCCAGTACAGTTATGACTAGTCCCCAGGCTTCATTTCAATAATAGTTCCTGGCCAATCTTCACTGGAGTTTCAGAGGGGTGATATTCCAGTGGATGTATGTGGCTCGGTGATTATCTAGAATGCCAAGAACATCATTTGATTTTTCGAAGGGTTGAATCTGCTCCTCCAGTTGCTCTCCCTAAACCCTCTGTGAATCGTCTTGATACCTGATAGTTTTTAAAGGTTAAATTTCGGTTTCGTAGATAATAATTGTAGCGACAAATAAAAATTTTGCGAGTCTATTATTAATATGAAGAACATTAGGAAGGCCAAGATGAGCCATTATATCACTCTTGACATTTACGCTCTCCTATTTGAATGCAACCTGCTGTAAGCATGATTCAGAAGCTAGTTCTTTAACGACGAAAAGAGTTAATCTGTGAACCTTGATTGCTATATCTTTGATGATAGGACAGCGTGCAATGAAACATCGAATATTTCAGTAAAATCCAAAAATAGAGATGTGCAGGCCATTTCTGAAACCATAAGATGGAACAAGCGTTTTGTGTCCGCATACATAGGACACTGGTTTTTCGAAGGTGACAGTATTGCCTTCTTTTGCGTTTAAAATACTTTACTACCGACAAACTAGCTGCAAGTCAGTGAGATAGTTTAACATCCGCCCTTGAACTAGTATGGTTGCTTTGAGGATGTAGAATGGACTCCAAAACGCGTTAACTCGAGAATACTTATCAATAACTATTCATTCTGGCATTTCTTATCAACGTCTTAATGTTAAAAAACCAGCAAATTCAGATGTTATAGTCAAACGCTTGAAATGATGAAATATCGAAAACTGGAATGACGTAAATCAACAAAAGATGCCATAGATTTACAATGTTTGACAACGTTCTTGTCCAAAACGTCTATCCATATAAACATCTTAAAATCAGTGTAGATGGAAGTCATGAATGTAGGAATGTGAGGATATATTTAGAAAATACTTCATATTTAGAAATGCACGTGACATGAGCTGATTAGTTGTCGCAAAAGACGAGCACCACGGTATGCTTGAGCGCCTCCAGTTATATATATATATATATATATATATATATATATATATATATATATATATATATATATATATATATATACATCGTACTCCTTTTCATATATTTCTTTAAACTAATTACATTAATAACAACGCAGATACAAAGTCTCAAGTACGGATTTTACTTAGTGGATGTGTGTTTCGTGAAGACGAGTATCAAAAAGCAGAAAAGCAATAGGAAATGAAACAAATATATGAATTATGAAAATTCAGTAATACATTGGGTCCGAGAATATCAAGGTGATCCAGTTGATTTAACATGTAGCAAAATACAAGGAAGTAAATAGACACATACCTATCATTGTGCACATATTTTAAAAAATTACTCAAAGTTGACTAATTCAAGTATACAGAAGGACAAATGACATTGAAATGATCCATCTGTTCTGAAATTAAAATAAAATTTATATAGACGTTATAACCTGGAAGCCACCATGATGATATTAATCCCTTTATAGATCATAACTATGCTGTTCATGAAACATATAAGCTAGCGAAATTGAAGCATGAAACCTAATCAAGAATAATCGAGAACTCAAATTAAAAAGACTCTCCTAGCTCAAAAGATGATCTATTTAATAATGCGTTACTTGTAAAATTACGATCAACACAGTTGTTCTGTAGCCATTTTACAGGTTACCGAAATATAGTTTAGAAAAATTAATCTAGCATACATAAGTTCGTTCAAATTGAGAACTATGTTCTTATTCAGAAATAACAGCAACATCAAACACATTGTTAAATATTTTTCGTAGTCACTTTACATCAAACCAATAAATGGCTCCAAGTATTGAATTCTGTAACAACTATATAGATTATACTAGATAGCATTGTTCTGTCTTAATAAGTCAGTAATCTAATATGTCTAATAAAATATACTTACAAGATTTGTCTCATATTAGTTAGACTATGAGAAAGATACATAGTAAAATTAAACTGTTATTATTTGAAAAAATATCATTTTTACTGTGTTCAAATTTCTGAAGGTATCCAATGGTATAAAGAAGCGGTGGCGAGACTATGATTTGTGAACGAACCAATCAGATATAAGATAACAGGTCTTGGATTTTTGCAAGAAATTCAGTCATCCATTTAACTAAATAATGTTTTGTCATTTTAGCTGTTGTCAGTTTGTGATGAAAACCCTAAATCTATTTACAAACCCTAACCACCAATTGTAAATCATAATTCTAGTTCCTTACAATGTTTTATAACCCTCATTTAGTCCCAGTTAGTAGGTGAACATTATCAAGGTCACTTTAGCGTTGCTCAAATGTCGTCCAAAAATTATAATCTCACCCACCTTTGTTCTTAACCTATTTCAACTCCAAAGCTGATCTAGAAAACATAAATAAGATTATGTATGTGAACATGTGGTCAGA